GAAGATAAAAATTTTGGGAATGTTATTATCTATTAATAGATGAGCAGATACAGATTGTGGTATAATCAAATAATACAATGCTCTAGAGTATTTCAAATGAACGACCTAGATCTACATACATATTTATATGTATAAATATAAAAAATTAATGTTGGGCAAAAATAGTAAGTTGAAGGAGAAAAAGTGTGATAGTTACATGAAATTTACAAAATTACAAAACAGTATATGAATTATGGCAACAAATGTATGTAGTAAGGATGAAGAACTGCCCAGGAATGCTCATCAAGAAATTTAATTAAAGTATGGTTACTTTTCAAGTGTGTGGAATCACAAAGGGGAATAGAGAAATTCAACTAGATCTACAATGTTTTATTTCTTTAAAAACAACATCTGAAGAAAATGTTAAGATTTGGAAAAGCCAAGTGAGGGGTACAAGGGTGTTTTTTTAATATTGTTCTCTATATTTTTCTGCATGTTTAAATTATTTGATGATATAAAAAGAGACAACCCAATGACATTTAGTTATTTTCTACTCAGCAAATGAGCTATTTTGTGTGAATCTAAAGATAGGACGGTAAGTCGACGATAAATCTCGGAACTACAGTGACTACTACGTATGTATATACTGAATATCCAGTTCCATGCTCCATATTTCATAGACACGTTAGGAGATAATATTCTGAGTTCTACTTTCACATGTCACTGGTGATTGTATGCCATCTCCTTTCAGATTAAGATATTGCTACTTGTAAGTGGATATATGCCTTGGCATGCTTTCCTAGAAACTGGCAAGGGCTTTACTAATCCAGGTCTCCTTTCTGGGTAAAGGTAAATAATCTGCCCAAATGTAACCTAGGTTCCTTTTTCCTAAACTAACTGCCATTTATGGTGATTGAACCAGCAACTGCAGCCTCTTTTAAAAACAAATTAACTATTTATTTCTTCCTATCCATGACAAGAGATGCTTTGCACTGCCCAGCGTTTGGAAGAGTTCTGAAGAGTTAGGGAAAGTCACGGACCTGCTGCAGTTAAGACTTACTAGACTACAGAAGATGGCTTGAAACCTAGCCTTGGGGACCGCTGCTGAGGGGTGAAAGCAATTGCGTTTGGCCAGGTGTGCTGTTCTGCTTCACCATCATGCCAAGTCAGCAGCACTCAGTGATTTCATGGTGGCCGAGACTAGGTGTGTATTGATAAACATCTACAACCAAAATGGGAGTTCAAAAGGGTACTTACTCTGACTTTGAGGGATGTGCTCTGATACTTTCTATTCTGCTATCTTATGTATCAGTAGGAAATTGCCTGCTAAAATTCCCTGTGTTGGTCTCACAGTCCCTGATGATTCCCACACCAGAAAGTTGTTTATGAATTATTTCTGTAACTATCGGGTTCAAAAGGCCCACAGTACACGAAATGAGCAACAGCATTCAGAAATCTTTCACTAGTCTACTCCCGGGGAGAACTTTCTTCTATGGAAAACTCTTATCAGTGGAAAATGTTATTTTTAAATCAATAATGAAGCATTACAAGGTAAGAGAATCTTAAAGCCAACTTGATTTCTTGCATACTTTTTATTTTATCTCTGCAACCCCCCCCCCCCCCCCCAACTTTGCTTGCCTAGGGAAAAAAGTCAAATGAGGAAATTCATTGGCTAGACAGGAGTGGAAATGACCACGACATAAAGGCATGAAATAGCACTTTACTTATTATAAATGAAGTGACAGGGAACTAAACCCAGAATTTACCATAAACAACTTGGCAAAGAAACAAGGATGGGGCAATAATAAGATAAACAGTTCTGACAGATGGAGCGTTTAGCTCCATACTTTTCAAGAGCTGTAGGTATTTGCGGATAACTCCACGGCTCATCCCTAGGGCAGGTCAATACTCAAGGTACACTTTGTCAATTCCTTGTGACTACCTTCCCCTTACAATGTCCTAACCTCCAATTTATTTGAGCTAAAATATACAGTCATAAATAATACATGTTTAAAAAATAAAACATTTCACCAAATAGTTGAAGAACGGTCCTAAGAGGATGGACATCTGGAATTATAACTGATCACTGTTTGCTGAACTTACTCCGCAGAAAACCGCTAATGGTGTTTCTACAGAAATTCCTCAACAACTTAACATTTCTTTCCTCAGTGCTCTCCCTCAATTAACTCCACTTTATGTATAAAGGCATCTCAAACCTTATCATCCACCCAACTTGAAAATTATGAAAATGCAGGTGCAAAGTCTCAAAGACCAGCTATTTTGAAGCTGACATTGCTCCAAGATTATAGGGTCAAGGAAGCAAGCAAAACATGAGTTCAGTCATATTCACGTCTATCTTGGATATTTTTACTATGTAATTCATATTGTGTTATTTTGTACTTCCACTGGGAATTAGAGCCTAATGTTATGAGGGTTGTTTTCTTCTGTTGTAGGTTTAGCAGCATGTGTCATCTGGAAATACCTAGCAAAAAGGTTTCTGAATGAATTACCTAGATTACACTGAATTTTCCATTTTTAGCTTGTTTCTAAAAACGTAAGTTTTTATTAAAATATTTTTCAAATACAGAATAATCATCAAATTCTAGCAATGGTTCAAAATGTTCGAATGCTATTAACTTTCTAACCTTTGTAAAGAGATTTTTTGTTTTTACGTTAGAGAAAAATATTTTTCCCTATGTCAAAGATCAGTATGAAGATGAATTATTTTGTAGGTCTGTACTACATTGCAGCAATTAGGGGCTGATAACCTTGGCTGCCCATTAATTAGAATCACCTGAGAGCTGGGACCCACCCCCAAGATTCTTCATCAATTGGGGGTATATGGTTTAGGCATGGGGTGTTTCAAAGCTCCACAGCTAATTATAATATGCACCGAGTTTGAGAACCACAGCTCTAAAGCCCTGATGCTCAGTGAGAGGTCTGAGGACCAGCAGCATCAGCTTTACCTGGGAGCTGGTTAGAAAAGCAGAAACTTAACTCCGCCCCAGACCTACTGGATCAGACCCACATTATCAGCGGCTCTGATTTAACCCATGCAGAATTCTTTTTTTTTATAAAAATAAGTGGCCAAATCTATTCCATCCTTTCTAATTCTAAAATTCTTATTCTACTAGGCAAGGCACTGAGAAGCACTTTGAAACTTAACCAGAATTCTTTACCTATAAAAATGAGGGACCAAAACCACTCTATCCCCTCCAACCCCAGAAGTCTCATTCCACAAACCTAAACAAATACAATTCTGGGGGAATTTGTAAAAACCGTTTCATAATTCCATCTTCATACCTTTGCATGCACTTCTTCTTGCCTAGAATTCCTATCTTTCTCTTTCCTCACTCGGACACAACATTTAAGATCTAGGTAAACTCCCATCTCTTTTATGAAGCACATCCTAAAAAATAATATAGCTTTTCTCTAAAATTCTGTTGTCAATATAATCAACTCCACAAAGTTTAGCACATTGATTTTTTCTACTATGACATATATACTACTGTGTTTCCTCAATTAGGGGATAAGTGTCTTCAATAAGGAATCATGTCATTTTCCTTTTCTATCCTAATCTAATCTCTAACTTTTCTAAGTGAATTATATATTGTTAAAATGTATATGGGAAATTGATATCAATTTTCACTAATCTCATAGATTATTTATTTAAAACCAGCCTGTCTTTGACCTTTCCCAGTAAAGTAACCTCACATACATGCTGAAGGTTCTCACATGTCCAGGTGAGTTACAATCAGCTGTGCCTTAGGGCTCCCATTCTTTTCTTACTGCTCCTCCGAGGCCTGCTAGCCTCATGATAATACCGCTTCAAATAACTCAGAAACTCTACAGAAAAAGCCTCTGCTCCTTAGCCCTACGGTATGCTCATAGTAAACTTCTCCTACTTTTTTTTTAAAAGATTTAATTTTTTTCCTTTTTCTCCCCAAAGCCCCCCGGTACATAGTTGTATATTCTTCGTTGTGGGTCTTTCCAGTTGTGGCATGTGGGACACCGCCTCAGCATGGTTTGATGAGCGGTGCCATGTCCGCTCCCAGGATTCGAACCAATGAATCACTGGGCCGCCTGCAGTGGAGCACGCGAACTTAACCACTCGGCCACAGGGCCACCCCCTGCAACCTCTCCTATTCTTTAGCTCTAGGCCTGTCTTACTCACCGTTACATCTCGACCATCGTGTTTGGCACATACTGGGCATATAAGTGAATTATAAATAGGATGTCAACAAACTCTACAGGAACAAACAACTTCAAAAATATACTACTGAGCTCATGATAACATTTAGAAGTATGATTTTTCTTGTAGTAGCTCCTATATATACTTTTCTTGACGTTTATATATATTTTTCTTTTTATGATACAAATAATACATAGTCATTGTAGAAAACACAGATTAAGCAAAATGGAAAAAAAATATAATCCCTGAAATTGCACAACCCAAATATCCTACTGTTAACAGGTGCACATCTGTCCAGACCATCAATATATATGTAAACATACATGCTATTGAACATAAGTGCTTTTTTGAACAGATCACACTCTATCTACTGCTACATACATTGCTTTTATTCAATGAAGTCTACGTCAAAGCATCACTCCAGCCAGCAAATCAATTTACAACAAAATTCACTCATGAAGATTGCATTAATGGATGTACCAATATTTAACAAATTACCTACCTTTGGAAGATTAAGTTATTTCCATTTTGGTAATCATAAATAATGCTGTGATGAACAATCTCCATCATAAATGTACTCGTCCAAACATTTCTTTAGAATAAAAATATTTAGAATAAAAACATTTCTAGGGCTTGTGATAAAAAGAATTACTGAATGGACCTCTAGAAGTTTGTACTAGTGTGCTCTCTCACCAGGGGATGGGAATTGTCTAAAACGTTTAATCAGCAATAAAGCTGCCATATTCTTGGCTATGATTGTTATTACATACCAGTTACATAGAGTGGCATGTGACATGAAGAGAAACTGATGCAGTTGGAAAATACTCACATTCCTTGGGAGGGCAGACTCCAGTCTGGAGGGATCGGAACTCATAATATGGTATCTCATATTTGAATATGTATGTGAGAATGTCATCAAGTTCGTCCATGTCACTCTGTTTTCAAATAAAAAAATTTTTCTTAGTTCAATTATTTGTTTTGAAACTCATCTTAGAGCAATATAATAAAAAATTATTAGCTGGAGTGAATACTGGGTAATCTTTAGGAATACTGATGTCTTTTTTGAAAGACTAATACAAAACAGAGGCTTGTCTAAAAATCAGTTATTAAAACAATAGAAAAATAGATGCAAGAAATAAAAGTCTGTGCTTTCAGATAAGTATCTTTACTCAAATGCTAATTTTAAAAGAGCATTACAGTAGGTCAACGATAACACCGAAATTTGTTTCAATAATAAATTCTGTTAAAACACATGTTACATTTTAATAACTGAAATAATAAAATGATGAGTCTGAATATTCAATTTTAGGGTCAGAAATGAGACAGTCTTAAATAGATCATTTTATTTCTGCGTCAAAGTGAGGGAGAATATTCATCTTGGCCTATTTTTCCCGGCAGATATAGAGTAATTCCATGTCTAACCTACTTCCCTAATCCGAGTGCTTGGGGAGGGGCCACGCAGAGCTCAAGCGCCCCCCCCCTCCCCCACGGTGGCACACACTAGTGCAGAGACCAGCATTCTTTTAACATCGGGTTTTGTGAAACTGTGGCTGAGACTAAATGGACCTGGGACAGGTGATTGTTGCTGAGGAAGTGAGCCAATCACAACCCATATGGCGGAACAAAAGTTCCTTCTTAAGCCTTTTGAAATGATTTCCAAAAAAAATTAGACATATTGCCAACACACAGTCACAGAAATTGAATGTCTGGGTTGAAAAAAAATATTTTCATTGTGAAATTCTTAATTTTTCAGTACTCTGGGTGCTTCAAATAATAAAGCGGTTCAGGACTCTCTGTATTTTCTGAAGTTCTGCTTAGAAGTGGGGAAAGGGGATGAAAGCCCTTTTCTCGACCTACAGCTATGCAATATGGAGCAAAACCGAACATTAATCTATTTACTGCTATGGACCATGTGAAACTCTTAGCACTGACACATCAAGAAAAAAAAGAGAGGGTGGGGAGAGATGTGACAGCCAGCTCTGCCTTCAAGAAATTCGCAGTCATGTAACTGCATGTGGGCAATGAAGTGAGTTCTAGGTACTATGATAAAGAGCCTCTATGGGTCAGGGACAGTGTGGGCAAAAGGGAGATCGCTCAGTTCCACAGACGAACAAAAGGTTAGGAAAAGCTTTATGGAGGAGATAACCTAAGTTGAGATTTCCATGCATAAAAGGAACATTCTGGACTAAGAGAATAAACTGTACATAGTCATGGAGGTGTCATGAAAGATGACCTGGCTAAGGACTTTAGGAATTTCCATAAGACTGCAGAAGAATGAGAAAGAAGAAGGAAGTGGGCATTTCAAAAAGTGCCTCGTATGTCTGATGAAAAGTTTCTAATTCATCCTGTAAGCAATGAGGAGTTGTTTAAGGCCTATAATGCTGAACATGTGAACATTCATTGTGCAGATTAAATTAAGTTTATTTAAGTTTCAGCATGATTATGATTGCTTATGTGGTTGATAATGAGTGGAACCTATTCCATAAATAAAGATGCAACATATAACATATTTTGTATTAGTAATAATTACTTTTTAATCTTCTGAGGAATTTTTGATAGGACTTGTGGGGCAAAACATCATTGGCAATATGTTTCTACTTTCTCCATGATAAAGCTCAAAAAGAATATGTTTTAGCTATATGAGCTGATGAAAGGAATTAGGAAACATGAAAATCATAACATTAGTTTACAAATTTTCTTCAAAATTTATGTCAATAGCCATGAGAGTTCTGCATAGGCTATTACCAGTCATTGGTATTTTTACATAAGGAGATAAACCTACTCTTTCTTTCCGAAAGTATATAAGATTTAGTGGGTGGAGATTGGTGTGTCATGGAGTTACTATACTCATGTATATGTTAGGCGTAAGATAGCCTCTGGGATTCCTTCTAGCTCTGAGATTCTGAGACACAGATAAGAATTCAAAAGAGCAAGAGTTCTCACTAGGAATTTGAGAAGCACCATTTGTTATAGAGGCACCACTGGATACTTCAATGTGAGAAATGCTACAGCTTATATCATTGAATTTTAAAAATAAAGTAGCAGCGTTTTTAGAATCAGGAGAAAACAACCTCATCTTGTAGACAAAGATTTATTTAATTAGTAAAGAATACAGACACCTTTTAATATTCTAGCCTTCCACAATTAGTTGAATCATTTCTGTTTTTGATTTCACAATCACATTATTAGTATGAAGCTTGAATATAAGTAAATGGTATAGAACACAAAACAAAGATGTAAAAAATCACCGAAATGGCTATTAAAAATAATCCCCAAAGGATTTCGCCTTAGAAAATACACTAACTAGAAAAATCTAATTTGAATATTTACACTTCTTTTTATATTATGTTTCAAAGACACAAATAGGCATCTTTTCTAAATATTGGCATTGAAATTAGAAAATGTCATAAATTTTCCTTTCCTTAAAATAAGGTATACAACTCAAAGAATAATTAATGAGATTGATACAATTGTTGTTCCAATAGAAAGGGTAAAATTGAGTTTAATACTTGTTTAGCAATGTTCACAACCATCCTAAGATTTTAGTTAGTAATGAGCAACTTGATGTAAAATTAAGAGTAGAATAAAATGATAAAATTATATTGGTACTATTATTTGATTACAGGAAAAATTAAACATATATACATAATATAAACACATATGCATATGCATGCATACATAGATCTAGATCTATCGAGAATATTGGAAAAAGAAAGCAGAAAATTAAAAAAAGATATGAAATAGATATAGAATAAATATAAAACAATAACACGCTGTACATATGAAGTAAATATATAACTTTTCCCAGGAGAGATCTTTCACTGCCATGTGAGATTAATGAACATACTTTAAAAAGTCATTTGCATATACATTTATAAATCACAACTCCATTTGAATCTGAAGATGTTATATACATTTATATTTATTCCTCACAAACAACTTTATTATAATGAATATTTCTTCCTAAATGAGAAAAAATATATAAAATATCTGTTTTAAAAGATACTTAGAGTTACAGACTTCCACTTCTGGGAAGTGGAAGAGATGGACTAGTTGTACTTTCTCCATTTCCTCTTCCTAAATACAACTAAAATGTCCAGATTTCAATAGAAAATCAATTGTTATACCAAGAACCAGGAAGATCTCTAACTGAACAAAAAGAGACGATAAATAAATGCCAACACCAAGATGACAAAGATTTTAGAGTTATCTCACAAAGATTTTGAAACAGCCATGATAAAAATGGTTCAACAAGCAATTACAATCATTCTTGAAATAAATACAAAATAGAGAGCCTCAGCAAAAAAACAGAAGGTCTTGGCAAAGAAATAGAAAGTACAAAAAAAGAATCAAATGGAAATTTTAGAACTAAAATTTTAGAAAAAATACAATGATCAAAATAAAACCTCAGTGGTGGACTCAAAAGCAGAATTAAAAGTACAGAGGAAAGAATCAGTGAACTTGAAGATATAACAGTAAAAATTACTCAGTCTAAACAACAGAGAAAAAATAGACTGAAAAAAAAACCCCACAAAGTGTTAGGGACCTGTGAGATATAGCAAAAATTTTAACATTCATCTGATCACAGTCCCAGGAGGAGAGGTGAAAGAGCATAGGAATGAAAAAGTACACAAAAAAATAATGGCTGAAAACTTTCTCAACTTAGCAAGAGACAAACTTACAGATTCAAGAAACTGAGCAAAACACAAACAAGATAAACCCAAAAAACTACATATCATAATTATAATTCTGAAAATTAAGACAAAAAAAATTTTGAAAGAAATGAGAGGGAAACAAAATCTTACCTATAGGATAACAATAATTAGAAACACAGTAGTAACGATGAAGGCCAAAAAGAAGTGGCACAATATTTCTTAAGTGCTAAAGAAAAGAACTGTCAACCAAGAATCTTACAAGAAGCAAAAACATCCTTCAGGAATGAAGGGGAATTCAAGACATTCTCAGATGAAGGAAAACTCAGGGAATTGGTTGCCAGCAGATATACCCAAAAATAATGGATAAAGGAAGCTCTCTATAAAGCAAGGATATGATAAAAGAAGGAAACTTGGAACAGGAACAGTAAACAAAACATATAGGTCAATACCATAGGTTTTCATTCTCCTCTTGAGTTTTCTAAATTATGTCTGATGGTTAAAGTAAAAATTACAGTACTTTCTGATGTGGTCCTAAATGTATGTAGAGGAAATATTTAAGACATTTGTTATAAATGAGGGAGTGGTAAAAAGAGAGAAAGGGAGGTAAATTTCTATACCTTACTCAAACTGGTAAAATGAGGACACAGGTAGACTGTGATAAGTTATGTATATATAATAATACCACTAAAAATGATATGCAAAAAGATGTACTCAAAATACCACAGATAACTCAAAATAGAAATCTAGAGAGATGTCTAAGTAACTCACAGGAAAGAAATAAAAAACCCCAGAGAAATGAGATGCAGAGAGCAAACTAAAAACGAAAAATAAAATGGCACATTAAATCCCTAACATATCAATGATTACATTAAATGTAAATGGTCTAAAAACACCAATTAAAAGACAGAGATTGGTAGAGCGGATTAAAAAAGATGACCTAACTATATACTCTCTTTAAGAGACTGACTTCAAATAAACAGTATAGGCAGATTGAAAGTTAAAGGATAAAAAGTAATATAACATGAAACCATTACAAAGGAAAGCAAGAGTAGTTATATTAATATTAGGGAAAGTAGACATCAGAGCAAAGAAAATTATCAGAGACACAAAGAGACATTATGCAATGATAAAAGCTCAATCCACCAAGAAGACAAAGAAATCCTAAATGTGGATGCAACAAAGAACAGAGCTGCAAAATACGTGAGGTAAAAACTGACAGAACTGAGAGGAGAAATAGACAAATCCATAACTATAATTAGAGACATAAACACCTCTCTTTC